CCATTCAGTCTGCTTTCTGATTCTTCAAACGATGCTTGACTACACACTCTCCCTGGATAAGACAAATGAACATTATTGCGTAATTGCGACTACAAACGCTACCTTTCAAGGTGTTCATCTTTCCTTCATAAGGCTTATGCCCTAGCGGAAGATGGTAGAAGACGTGAGAGCCTCTAAAGCAAGGAAACAGTAGGTCAGAGATGGCTGCTGAACCTCCCTCATGCACCTTGCTCAAACATGATGGTGTTGTAACCAGGGGGGCAGTACAGGAACAAAAAGACAGACAGAGATGCCCTGCATTTGCAAATACACAAGCAGTCCCAAGATCAACCCACTAGGAATCGAACCTACAACCTTCCACCGAAGAGGCGGAACACTTGACCAATAGGAAAAGTGAGCGGGGATGAAAGTGACGCCCCTTGTGGGACATTTCACCCCACCCCAGCATGGAGTACATCCATGACCCGGTGTACCCAGACTCTACTCAACCCATGAGCCTTTCGGCCAAGAGATGCCCTGCAATCTGGGTAAGACTCCTGAAGCAGATGAGAGTTTTTCATGTTCCATTTTGATCCTCCGCAGAAGAACTAAGTGTTGCTGTAGGTCCATAGCTGCAGGAAAAAAGGAAAGAGGGAGAGAAAGTGAAAGCCAACCTCTATTCTGAGTTGAGGAACGTGTTCGCATGCCATGGTCTGGATAAAGTGAAACCTCTGCCTTGTCCCTCAACTTTCCACAAATTTTGTTAATCAAACCACGCACCTTGTCCATGTAGCGGAAAGCTTCCTGATAACTCCCCTGCAAATAGATAGATCGACCAATTAGATGGACGAACAGAAGCGCATGCGTCTGTCAGGGTTTCATGGTGGTGTCAACAACTCCATGACACATTTTGAGAGTTAGTGCAGGAAGGGAAGAGCGGCTGAGGAACGCTAGAACCATAGCCAGTGGCAAGGGGATGGGAGGGAGGTTAGTCATCATCTAAGGCTGGAGGTAGTGATGGTCATAGCTAGTTCACAACACGACTGGTGCAGAGAGGTCATGCACAGGAAGGAGAGACTCGGCTCTCACTCACAAGAGCTGGATGCAAAGGTCTCAAAAATACTGTTGAGAGTGAGTGACGAGGAGAAGGACAGAGAGAGACTGAGCCGCACTAGTTTCGGCACATGAAGATTCCAGTGGCACAACGACTTTACGTCAAACCGAAAATAGAATGAGTGAACAGCACTGGTGGTCCTCGGCAAGTGAGGGCTGGGTCTGAACAGACCGGAGTTGAAAAGTGTTTGTAGTGCCAAAATGGCCAAGGGGCAGTCGAACGGGTGATGCCAAGACTTCAGAAATTAGAAACGAAATCTGCTGTCAAAACGGCTACGGGGAAAATTTGGAAACTGCCAGAGTACTGGGGATTTGCAGAAAAGGCCCACAGCATGGAACATGTCTTGACGCAGTCCAGACAGCTGGCACCTGGAAGATGCTCTGGTGGGTAGCGAGCGTTTTCACCCGAATAGAACGCCCGGCCATTATAGCTGTATCTGTGCTGAAAATTGCATCAAATACAGCTATAATGATCGGGCGTTCTGTTCGGGTGAAGAAGGTAGTCCAGGGTTCAAGCCTCAGCACACTACACAGGCAGCCATATGCAAGGATTATGAGCGAAAGCGATAGACAGAAAACCAAATTGCAATAACACAGATAGTCGTGTACCCAGCAGAAAAGCACAATGCACCGGATACCAGCCAAATAAGAGCAATACAACGAACTCAAATGTCAATGTCGACACTCTCTCGCCACACCAACATACTATCCAATGTCGCTCATCTTGATTGGCGTTCAGTGCCCAGCCTATCCTACACAGGCTATACTAGCCTACACTACATATATGCAACAGGAGTCACTTCGAGCTGAAGACCAATGTATGTGACGACGTCCCCAATGCAGACAGCATACACCCGGTGTGTGTCTCTTCTCCCCTCATCACCCCCTGTCTCCCCACAGCATGCGGCTCCTCTCCTGAAGACCACCATCACCAAACCAGCATGCGCCCAGCAGCCCGGCTATGGACGCTGTGCGCCCGCTGCCACCGCAGCACCCCTTTCAACTCCCGTGCCCGCGTGAGCCTCTGGCCAGCGCTAATGCAGCATGCTCGCGCTACAAAGCAGCAGCACGGCCGCATTGCCTGCCAAGCCAGAATGTGTCCTCTCTGGGCAGGGCACTTTCCTATATGGAAAGTGCAGCCCTACTTCTGGCTGCTTGGGCCTGGCATGCATGTGCCCCATTAGCTCCATGTTGGGGCAAAGTATCTGCACCCAGGCCCATTCAGACAGTTGCCTAGGGCCACAGCAGTTAGGCTGCCCAACTGTCTCTTTATTTTTTCAAAAAAAATAATAAGACAGTATAGTATCATAAATAAATCAGACTTATACATTATATGCGACGTTGCCAGTGTCACAGGCTGCAATGCCATTGTCCAAAGGGCTTCTGGCCACGTCGCTCCAAGACTTCCCATTGGCCGACAGGCCAGCTTCCACGTCAAGCCGTAGAAGAGCCTGGAAGGTCCATGGAAAATTCCGATGCCCGTGCGGAGGGCCTGTGTGACCAACTGGCGCGTGACAACTGGCTGGCACCCAAAATGCAGAAATGACAAAAATGGGGCCCCTCTTCGAAACCAGGCCCACCTCCACTTAGGGCGAGCATTTTGCTTGCTGGGGCCCCTTGGTCTTCAGAAGGCCACGGCCTAGCGGCCAATGTGAGGGCTCGTTCCTCACACTCCATCCCCCTTAGCTTCGAAAGTCCGCTGAGATGCTTCTACGCAGGTGCTTTCCCCTTCAACTTCCATTCATACTCTGCAACGACCTGAGGGGCTGTCCTGAGCATCTCCTCCTTCATGAGCCTACGGTCTTCTTTTGGATCCGTATAATGCCTGAATCTGACCCGGTATTCCCTTGGAGGTTTCGGCAGTCTTCCTCTGCCAGCAGGCTTAGGAACAGGCAGATGTTTTTGATCCACAATGTCGTCGATATCTACATGGTCATCCATGGTTGGGGGCAGCATTGATCTTCTCGATCGAAACTTGTCAGTCTCAGCAAAAGGTTCAAGCTTGGAAGCGTTAAGAACAGGGTAAGTGTGCAGGTGACCGGGGACTCTAATTACATAAGAGGACCATCCAGATCACTACCCACAATATCCAAGACTTCCACGGTGCAAAATACTGAGGCATTTGCTTCCTAGAGATGCCAAACTCCTGTCCTCACTCTAGTAACCCAGACTCGTTCTCCTACCTGAGATGTGGACTGTCGTTTGTGTTTATTCTCAGAGGCGATCATTTCCTGCTGAGCTTTCTTGATGTGCTCAACAACCTGCTGCAACAGCTTCTCATACTGGACACCGAATTCAATGGTGGCAGGGGTTGCAACTGGTCGGTTTTCTGGGAGGAGAAAGTCTACTGCTATGTCGTCAAATCCCAAAGTCATAAAACTCTCTCTCTTTCTCTCTCGTAGTCTGTCGATACAGAGAAGTCAGGTAGCTGGAGGGTGAGGGAGAGATGGTG